GTGGAGAAGGACTTGGCTTCACTTGGCGTTTCCAATTGGCGTCAGTTCTCAGCCAAAATCGCTTAGGCGGTTACAGCGCCAAAAAAGAAGAGAAGAAGAAGCAATAAATATGTTGGAACATAAAATTTCATTTCGTTTTATACAAAAATACACTCTTTTTCACTCAATGCATAAGAACTTATATTCTAGGTATGTATGCACATTAGGAAGGTCCAAATCAGTTAAGTCGGAATTGTAATGCTCTCACCCCCTAGGATTGATCTATATCGAAAAAGAATACCCCCATTTTTTTATTTTGAAACTAAAAAATATTTAGAGGTCGCTCAAAGCGATCAAAGTTTTCCATGTATTTTTATATGGGAAAAATAACTTTTCGTAGAAATGGCATAGAATTGTGGAAAATCAATATTTTTCGATCAGAAAACTCTGGTTCTCTTCAGACTTTCAGTAACAATACTTAATTGTTTATTTAACAATTTTTTAATATTAACGATTTTTTATTGGTCCTCCCATTGCATTTTTCGGGGTTTTTGCGGGTTTTTGGCGGACCTATAAATTATAGGTGCGATGAAAAAACGGTTAAGCAAACAATTGGGTATTATTATTGAGAATATCCTGCAGAGCAATAAGGTTTTCCGATAGAAAAATAATGATTTTTAAGAATTCTGTACCATTTCTAGGGGTATATTTTTTTCGGTATAGAACAATGCCAGGAGGTGAGAGCATAAAAATTCCGATTTTATTTTTCACATGCGTTTTTGGACCACAACAATGCACACACATATTGTGGTCCACAAAATAAAGGAATTGCGATATTTTGAACGGTTTTGGCATTTGGCACTTGTCTTTTGTTTATCTAATGTTTATTATTCTTTTATAAAATTCTAGCTGGTATACAACAAACACCATATAAATTCAGTTTTCAAACTTTGTGCAAAAATTTGAATAATTCTGCTTATTTTCACAAAAATTTCAAACTTTTCAATCTGAATTTTGGTATGCAGTTATGTAGACCATTTAATTCAAGTATAATTAAGTCCAAGTTTCAAGCTGCTATAAAATCCCGTTCCCGCCAAGGGCTGTTCAGATAGTTACTTATAACTGTTATCTTAATTATATCCATCGAATTAAAAAAAAATGAGAACAATAGTTTGTTCTGAAATTTTTATAATTTTGCAATGCTTGAATGTCAATATTTCGCAAAAAGAAGCTGATACGATTTTAATGAAAATGGATTTCGCTTACGTAGGTGATAACGAACAAAGTGGACTTTCAATTTTTGTCGTACGTTTTAGAAAACTTTTAACTAATTCAGGAACAGTGCGAGCACAGGCTCAGCGGCAGATAGAGACTTTTTTTGGGGGGTGTTTTCCAGAAAAGTGTGCCACTTATACTTATTACTTTAAACGAGTAATTCTTGTCCAAAATAACTAACCTAGCGAATTTATGGCCTCAAAATGACCTATATACTGAGAAGGAAATTCTCCCATTTAGAAAAATTTTTATTTAAATTTAAAAAGTGTAGGTGGGCATTTTAAATTTTATATGTAAATAACATTAAAAAAAAAAATTCATTTAAAATGCTATAACTTTTGAACCGTTAAAAAA